GAGCTGCGCCGCGGCACTGGCCCGGACCCCAGGCGCAGTGCCCCCGACTTCTTCCGCGAGGACTACAACCGCCCGACTGCTGGCCCCATGGTGCTGAGAAGCCGCGATGAGGACAACTATTCGCGAGCAGGACCCCGCAGCAGCCGCGGCGGCTTCGACGACGATGTGCGCTCTACCCGGAGCCGTCCCCCGCCTCCGCCCTCTGCTATGCGGGGCATGGAGCGGGACGACATCAGCATCCGTCACAGCGAGGCTCCTACGCGCCGCGGACGAGCAGACGACATTGACGAGACGGACATTACCATCAAGCGCCGCGAGCAGTCCCGTGGCCCCCCAGAGCGCGACGACATCATCTTCCGCCGTGGCGATGGCCCCCCTGTGAGATCTGTCAGCCGACCCGCCCCGCGTCAGGTGGACGACGACGATGTGCGCTTCAGGGGCCGTGGTGGAAACGACATCGACTTCCACGCCTCTCGCAGCGAAGTCAGCCGCCACGGCAGGGACGTCTCTGCTGAACGAGGCTCTATCCGCTTCCAGGAGCGTGACGGTAACTTCGAGCTTCGCGCAAACCGCCGAGAATTCAGCCGCGATGGCAGGGACACCAGCAGAGAGAGGAGCTCCTTGACGATTAGAAACCGCGAGAGGAGTCTCCCTCCCCCATCGCGCAACCGCGGCGATCTGATCGCTAGGGAGCGCGAGGAGTTTGTCATCCGCCGTCCACGCGCGGAGTCTCCTCCCCAGAACAACCGCGAAGTCATAAGAGACGAGATCATCATCCGCCGCAAGGAGGAGCGAGCACCCACTCCTTCGCCCTCTCCATCCCCGCCTCCTCCACCCCCAGCGCCAGCTCCTGAGCCAGAGATCCGTCCCCCGATCATCCAGGAGATCATCACACATCACCGACACATCGACCATGGTAAGTGTTGTGGCTAACACAACCCAGGTTAAATACTGACAGTCGTACAGGTGTCGTCAGGGCCCGCACGCCAACACCGCCTCCCCCACCGGCGCCCCCGTCTCCTCCCCCTCCACTAAACGAGACCCTCGAGATCGAGATCAACCGACGAGAGTGAGTAGTCACCTCAAATTCCATTACACAGAACCTAACATTTCGCCAGGAGCCACAGCCGTGGACGTGGAAGGAGCAACTTCGAGGAGCTCGATATTGATATCAACTTCAACCGCGACCAGGTACGTCACCGCGAGCGGTCGTTTAGCCCCCCAGGGCGTGTGCACACAGCCCCCATGCCTGATATGGACTTTGATTTGGAAGCCGAGTTCTACAACCGTAAAGCACTTGAGCGAGCCTACCCCGGTGAAGCTTGGAACGGAGTTACCAAAGACTGGTCCATCATCGACGTGCCACCCGGCACCAGTCGTGTGCGCATGGATGGCATCGGTGGTGCTGCCCAAGAGATCACCTGGCAGCGCTACAACGGCGTTCGCAGATCAAAGTTCATCAGCGGCGACGATGAACATACCACTGACATTTACAACCAGGGATCGGTGAAGCAAAAGAAGAAGGACATGTGGACCGAAATCACAAAGGACTTGGTCCTCCGCGAAGCCATCGACTCGTGCGGCTACTCATGCGAGGAGACCGACGACTTTTTCTACGTCATGGAGTACCTGCGATACGTAAGTTTGTGATGCCTTGCACAAGGTGCAGTATACTGACATTCATACAGGAGGACGTTCTGCACCTCGTGGAGATCTCCGACGAGATCCGTCGTAAGCGCAAGAGCCGCATTCGGGAAATCGAGATTGAGCGCAAGTCTATCCACGACTCTCGCCCAGCCTCAGCCTACGACGACCGTTTCTACGAGCACGAAGTATCGTTCGACAGCCGTCGCAGCCGATACCGTTAGATTCTGAACGTGGACGAGGACCCTCGTACAGCTTTCATCTGACGCCGGACCTGCGGGTTGGAGATTCGGGAGCCCTTCAGCGAAGTCTTACACCATTGTTGAGTCCGCGACAATCTGCATCGTTTGTTTCGGCAGGCGAATCCTTCGATGAGGCCAGCGTGTTTAGAAATGTCTCGGCACCTCCGAGCAACGTTCACGGTCTTCCAGCACGCCTGTCGGAGAAAGTCTCAACCTGACACCGAACGACTCACAAGATCTCTGCAACCTGCAACGAGGACACGGCCTGTAGCACTAATGACTATGACGATTATGACTAGCATACCCGGAGCGAGTAAGAAAGAGGTGGTTTTTGCGGTTTTCTTTGATGCTTTTTCGGATGTGGAAATCGATCAAAGTAGCGGATGGCGGGGAGGTACATAATTCTCTTTTTTTCTGCGGTTACCAATCAAATTCATGAGCTTTATTGGCGTTGACGTTGTGATCTATCTGTTTGCGAACTATCGATAAAACCTATTCTAGTGAAGTCTGGCGTCGGACTGCTTTTAGTGATGGCTGTGTGCATGCCGCAAAAGCAAGGGTGCACACACGATCAGACCACAAGTTCATTCAAGCCCTTGCCTTTTCCATCGGAATCGCGGTCACTAACACGATCGAAGACAACGTTACATCATACACATATTTCCAATTACACTGTCCCTTTCTCCCCGAAGTGTACTATATACAGCGCGCTCGCGCTGCAAGGCTAAAAATACAGACGACGCCCGCGGGCGCCGCTTACCCCGCTTGGCACGTCCCCCCTGTCTTGTACGGGCGCTTCCACGCCTGTTACACGACGCGGCGAACACGCTCGAAACCCTGTCCGTCCCCTAAGCGCCCGCTCCACACGAGCTCAATTTCCAGCTCGTCGCGCTGCTGAGTGGCTGCCCTCGTCATAGGCGACTTTGTTCCAAGATAAGACATTCTTGAGCTGGCGTTGCGGCAAGGCGAGTGGTTGGACGAGCGGTTGGTGGGGTCGGGTTTGTGGTTGTTTCATGTGCGGCGTGTTGGCAGGCATGGGGTTTGGCGTGTAGGAGTAGGTTTGTATGCAAAGTATAAGGTCCCCGATGGGGGAGGCGTTGGGTTTAGGGCTTGTTTATGCTGTGGTACTTTACTTTTGAGGGGATTAATTGGGTATTGCTTTGCTGTTCGCTCTTTTCTTCCCGTTCTTTTCCATTTGGTTGCCTTGACACTGAAGAGCTCGGTCGATTGTTGCGCGCGCTTTTGGGTGTTATTTGGTACTGAGATATGTTTGCCATGATACACGTACGGCAGAGAGTGGGTGTGGTACTTGCGCTGCTGGCTTGTAAGTCATCTCTAGTAGTTCGAACTACATACGACTGCTTGTCTTTGCACGCACGTAGCTAACTTGTTGCGCAGTGTTCCCAGTGCTCATATCGTGCCAAAACACAACAACGAACGTCACTACCGCATCGACCTTCTACCTTGATCGGACAGAAACACAATTCTCTATCAACATCGCAGACGACTCGGATGATGTGTTCATCTACTACGCCAGCCCGGCGTATTCATGGGTCGGTGTTGGCTTTGGGGAGAAGATGGAAGGGAGTCTGATGTTTATCATGTACCCCAATGATAAGAGCGATAGTACGCTTTCACATAGCCTGGATCACGACAGCTATACTAACAAGTACCAGATGTAACAGTATCCGCACGCATCGGGTCCAAAGCCTCAGAACCAACCTTCAACTCCTCCGTCTCCATTACCGTGCTCCCAGGAACCAGAGTCGACGACGACATGCTCATCTTGAGAGCGCGATGTGGCAACTGCCGCACCTTCATTGACACCGAAGCGACAGCACACCCGATGATTTACGCTTTTGGTCATGGACAAAACCTGCAATCCGACTCTCCCTCCGCGAACCTCAAACGCCACATCCGCTACGGTCACTTCACCATGGACATGGCGACCGCTACCGGGCCAGGCGGCGTGCCGGCAAAGAGCAACGCACTCAACGGTGTAAGCATGGTGGGCGACATGACCCGAGACCACGACCGAGCGAACCTCGCACACGCAGTCATTGGATGTCTAGCGCTCTTCCTACTCTGGCCACTCAACGTGTTACTCGTGGGCTTCTTCAAGAACATCAAGATACACGTCGTCTTCAGCGTACTCATCATGATCTTCCTGCTTGTCAGTTATGTATTGGGAGGAGTTACCAGTGCGCAGTACAATCGCGTAAGTTACCCTTTGCCCACGTTAACATGTCCATACTAACGGGTACCCAGTCGAAAGCATTCAACACCCCGCACCAAATCATCGCCTTAATATCACTCCTACCCCTCCTCCTAACCAGCGTCCTCCCATCCCTAAAACCATACCTCCCGCGCCTCCAAAAAGCTCTCCACACACCCCTCGCTTCAGCCTCCCTCGTCCTACTCATCCTAACCGGCGGCCTGGGCCTCCACCTATCAGGCCAAACCCGACCTATAGTCCTCATCTACACCGCCATATCCATCGCCGTCTTCCTCTTCATCTTCATCATTCAGTCCTGCATCCGGAAACGCGGATCCGCATACTCCCGCGCTGAGAGGCGACAAAACCGCGGAACGGGCGAAGACAACGATGAGATGGTCATGCTGGGCAAGATGGAGGAGCAAGGTATGCCGTATGGGCACAGTGCGGAGCAGAATGATAGTAGAGAGTTTGGTGCTGATGGACAGAGGCAGCAGCAGCATGTAAGGAATACGAGTCGCACGCATTATGGCGGTGGGACGATGCCCGGTCCACAGTATTTGCTTAATATGCATCCGGGGGTGCCGGTGCAGGTTAGTCGCATGTGAGCATAGAAGGGTTTGGGGTTCATGATTGTATGATTAGCGTGGCGTTTGGGATGTTGATATTGTTTGGGGTCTGTGTTGTTGATATCGGTTCATTTTGGGACATGCGGGAAGCGAGAGATACCATGGAGCGTTGAGCATTTTCTGGCGTTGGTCATATTCATTGTTAGTTAGTTTAAATCGCATCGTCATCGACGAGCTAAATGTGCCGCTTAGAACGTAATTTTCATCGTTATATATCCAATGCAGCTTTCTCGTCTCCGAGATTCAACAGTTTGCAATTTGCTTGGAAGTTCAGTGGGCAGCCCAGCCAGGAACCTTTGCCCGAAGATAAACCCATTCTCCGTCGTCTATATCGCCAACAGATATAACGCCCATTTGCTTCTGGGCGTCGCTGACATCGCCAAAAACAACAGGAAGGATTGCTGGGCCTTCAACACGAATGTACTGTCCTTTGGGCCCTTTGAGCGGTCTGATTGTGATGGCAGGCCAGCAGTTCTCAAATTTCGGGTCTTCGTAGCGGCAATCGAGCACGGCCAGGAAATCTTCTTCGCTACGTGCTAGTCCGCCCCAGGAACCAGTCGGTTTTCGGATGCGGAGTTTGATCTTGACGCCGCGGTTTGTACACAAATAGTCCTCTGGCAGCCTAAATTCGTCGTCGAATCTGCGGTTGATTATCCCGCTCGAAGTGGCGAATTGCCTTGGGTGACTCGCAAATACCGAGGTGGGCGTTCCAGGAGAGTGTGGAAGGGGTTCTTCCCATGCGAATAGGCTTTGATCTGCGATAAACCTCATGATGCCTTCCTGAAGCCGAACAAAAGCCCTTTTCCCTTCACCATACATTTGCTCCATGTTGATGTCGAAAATGCCCATCAGGGAATATGCCATGTCTTCTATTCGTGTCGTATTGCGCCCGGCCATCCAGCTCATTCGCTTTGCGATACTCTCGTCCTTCATGTCGCTTTTACCTGAAAGCACGTCTGCGTTGATACCAGTGATGCGCCCCAGTTCGACACACAACGATCTCTTCCTGCCAAAATGTCTCCATTCTGTTCCGTAGAACCGTATCTCCTTTGGAGCTAGTAATTCTTGTAAGGTCCATCCTCGAGTGAACCAACGCGACCTGGCAAGCTGTTCTTTATCGTCATTGGACATGAGGCTGTCAGCCCAGGCTTCGGAGCCCACATTGATATCATCGAGATAGGCGTAACACTCCGCCGCTTGTTCATACCACCGGAACATACTGTTGATGGCTTCGCTCAGCTCTGCAGAAGAGTTCTTGTCGATGCAGCAAGTGTCCACCCATACTAACGTCAAACGGTCGCTCAGGGCTTGCTGACAGGCTTTCAGAATCTTCCAGTAGCCGCGGCTGTTTCTGAAAGTGGCATCGTCCCGCTGTGAATGGTTCGTAAACTGCTGTAGAGTGACTTCGTCCTCGCCCCACGTGTGTGATAGGATCGCATATGGCGGTATCAGAGACTCATCCATGAAGAGCCGTAGCTCAAGTGTGGTAGCATCAATAAGTCGCATGATGTTTTGCGGAATTGAAAGTTTGAAGATGGATCTGACAACGAGGTGAAGTGTTGTCTTATGAGGTTGCGATGATTGAGCTAGGCTTATGCTGCCTAGTGAGCTCAGCTGAGGGGCTCACGTTGACAGCGCTTACGCGCATCGCTGCGAGTCTCAAGCCCATCTGTATTGATTTGACAGACTGAGGGAGTGGCTAGAAACTACAGAAGAAAGCAGGGTCTGTGCGTTGGTCTCTGACGATACCAGACGAACGACCGTCGGGGAAGCTCCGGTAAGCGCACAGGAAGCAGTCACCCGGGCGTCAAGAAGCCGCCGACACCCGTGGACATCGCGCAGTAGGGTGTTACATCAAGATCCCGAAGCCTGGAGTATACTTTGTCTTGTCGCTAGGTTCAGTGATTGCTTTGCTGGGTTCGGCGAATGTTTCACGCGTGCGACATGTTGACAGCTAAACTTCAGGGTCCGGCCCTTCACGTGACAGATGACGCGGCGGCAATCGTAATGCACGGCTGAGGCACCGCCTCCTTCGTCCTCCTTGATACTTTCGTTCTGCAACACCTCTTCGCCTTTCAACCTTTGAATTATCCTGAATACAACCTACGATGTCTCCTAGCAAGTTGGGTGTTTTCGCCCATTTGGCGCTGGCCGCCAGCGCCGTGCTCATCCCTTCGACCATGACGAACGTGGAAGACCTCGGAGACGACCACGCTTTCGAATCTCTCGCCATCAACCCCAGCCAGCGATCTGTTGCGCTGGAGTGCCCTGGATGCGCCGTTGCGACCTTGGATGGAAAAGACCTCAAGTGGAAGTCGGATGTTGGGAGTGCCTTCGTACGTAGTCGGCTATATGCCTCACAGCCTTGCATGCTAACAGCCAACAGCGCCTGGACTTTGACGTCGGACCCCATGGAGACGCTTTAAACCTCGACAACGCCCAACTATACCCGCCATCGTTCGGCTTCCCTCCCCAGCCTTACACTCTCACACAGGTGGACCCATCTACCAAAGAGGGTCTACGTCTGCAAATCACCGGCTATGAGTTCCGCTACGACGGCGCAGAGACTATCTCAGAGGAGGGCACCGAGCTTCTTCCGATGACCTTCCAAATCACCTCGGTCGAAGGCACCACTGTCAATCCTCCTGCGCTCCAGATCAACGTGCTGAAGAACTCGGAGGGTCGCCTCATGATCGCATCTTTCAACGAGGCTGAGCGTAGCCCGGCCACACCATCAGACAAGAAGTGCAACGAGTGGCCGCTTTACTGCAAGTGGAAGAACATCATGGCCGACCGCATCGAGCAGATCAAAGACATGCGCAAGCCCAGGCCCGGCTGCCACAAGCGACCCCATGCCGGTGCCCGTCCCAACAACCCCATGGAGCATGAGGGCATGGCTGGAAAGCCCCCGCACCGCTTCCGCCCCAGCAAGGCTCACCCACACCACCACCCTCACCACATGGGTCAACACCGCCACCACGGTTTCGCCAAGATGCCTCGCCGCGCCTTCTTCACAATCTTCGTCCCTATCCTCATCGGTATCTTCGCTGGTACACTCACATACCTCGTTGGCATGGCTCTTGGATGCCTCATCGCTATTACCGTTGCCAAGGTCCGTGGCCAGCGCTACCAGCCGATTGCTCTGGATGAGGAGGATGTGGAAGAGGCGGAGGAGCGCGGAGAGAAGGAGGAGTACGCCGAGCTTCCAGCATACGATGCTCCTCCTGTCTACGAGGAGGCTGCCGATGAGGAGGCTACTGTCAAGAAGACCGATGAGACAAAGTAAAGCTTACTCTAGGTCTGGAAGACGGTACGAGTGGCGAGTGAAAATGGTCATGTCACGCTTCTGGTTAGATGGATAGTTTGTAGCATGCCCCTCGTTTGTAGTCCGTGTTGATTAGCTAGCTCTCGCAATGAATCTCTTTCAGTTCACATCGACGGTATTGAAGTATGCTTTTGAAGTGCAAGCCCTGTTTGATCTATTGCTAACGGTCCAGCCTGAGATCACCCTCTCATGGCTGCTCCACCGTGATACCCCTCTCGATGCAGATGAGCATCTGTGCGGAGGTGCGCAATGTTGAGACCCAGCGCAGTAGACACGTCTTGTGCCACTTGCTGCGTCCCAGCATGACCACTGATGACTTAGACGGCAGCCAGGTAAAGCAAGTGCAGGCAGCAGTACGTATTATGTGACTCATACGTTTGCATTGGTAGATATGCGCATGAGCGACCAGCAAGTATGTCCAAAGAGTGGGACATGGCCACTCAACGATAGGTTGCGACCGATATGACGCCATGTTTCCATCTGCATCTCCTTAAGAAGCAGCAATTATAGGTATGATATAAGCCAAGTCTTGGTCATTGAAGTATACACATGTTGAAGGAGCTGGAGAGTCTGTGGCATGGCGGTGAAAGCTTCAAGTCGACGTTTCTAGAAAGTGGACGGCAAATATGATGTGTAAATGTTAAGAGGCAAGAGAAGACAAAGTAATGAAAAGAACCTTATTCGATATCAAACGCGTCTCTCGCAGTTGCTTGTTGCGGTGGTTGGTGTAGTTCGTGCACAGCGTGGACGCGTCGTGGAGGGGTGAAGAAGGCGTGCCGTATTTGATACAAGACGCGCAAAACATTGTTCGATATTGCAAGAGGTTATTTGTATATCCAGTCGTCTTCCGATAAGTTTTAAGAGGGTGCAGCATGTTGTAGCCGCATGCAGGGCGATTATCACCATCCGACGTTGGTGTTCCAGTCGCGTCGGCAGGCCGCGATTGAAGTTCCCGCACGGGCCATTTCGCCGACACCTGCAGCAGCAACCCGGCGCGCCTGCAAGCGCAGTGGGAATTGGAAGTGCTGCTTTCCACGCTTTTGATTTTCCCCCAGATGTGAAGGCGCAAGGCCTTTGATTTCATGTTCTGACTCGCCCCGACCGGGCCTAGCGCCACTCTGTGCCCAGGTGTGATCTGGAGGCACCCGCGCCCGCCTCCCTCGTCTATATAACCGGCCCACCCGCGTCTTTGGAGTCTTTTCTTTCTTCTCTTTTCGCAACCCCCAGCTTTCATCTTCATCCTCGCCATTTACGCTGCACCAACGCGCGTAATATACCAATACCCATCACCTTCATCTCCACTAACCTTCCAACAACATGACTGGACGTAAGTACATCTTTGTTCCTCTTCCATTACCCGCGCATCGACGTTGTCGTCGCTGTTGCCGCTGCTGCACATGGCGGTGAGGCGCGCTTGGTGTTGAGGCTCAACGCGTCGCCCCACTAATGCACCGCGCATCACGACACTCATACACAACCACCATGCCGTCGCGGCATCCATCATTACCATAAGACAACATGCTAACATACCTCTGCAGGCGGCAAAGGTGGCAAGGGTCTCGGAAAGGGTGGCGCCAAGCGTCACCGCAAGATTCTTCGTGACAACATCCAGGGTATCACCAAGCCCGCTATCCGCCGTCTCGCGCGCCGTGGTGGTGTCAAGCGTATCTCAGCCAGTAAGCATTCCCAACCTTGTCGACATGCCAGACAAGTCCTAACATGACCGTAGTGATTTACGAAGAGACCCGTGGTGTCCTCAAGACTTTCCTCGAGAGCGTCATCCGTGACGCCGTCACCTACACCGAGCACGCCAAGCGCAAGACCGTCACCTCCCTCGACGTTGTCTACGCCCTCAAGCGCCAGGGCCGTACCCTCTACGGTTTCGGTGGTTAAACATCTCCTCTTCTCGTCACGACACATCGGCGCCCGGCATCGACGGCCCTTGCGGCCTCTTGGTCGGGGACTGTCCGCATGGTCACACATTGTTTATGGATATGATCTGGTCACGGCTATCGGTCTTCACGGCGTTATGTTCATGGGTGGTTTGGAAATGATCAATATGAAGCTTCGATCTTCATTTGGCTAGTTCAGTCAATGCATACATATTCATGCACCTTGCTGTCCAATTGCTTTGTTCTGTGACTTTTGACTCATGTCGTGCCGTTTTCACCTCGAGAACAGCTTATCGCTTGCTACACTAGACAGTATCTGACTAGACAAATCTCCTTCCACCTTGATATTCTCCGACCGCCATCTCGTCAGTTCCACTAACACTTCTCCACGTTGGTCGCAGCCAGAGCCAAGAGGTACGCTTGAGTAACCACATTAAGCTGGTCAAACGGCTGTCCACTCTTCGAAGCGAGTATACCTTGGCGACTGATGATCTCGTTGTACAACTTACGATCCTCAATGCGAACATTGCCAGCCCGCAGTATGACCATCGGCACGATCTTGACCTGATCGAGTTCAGGAACATGAACCTTTGCATAGCCTCTAGCATGACCACAATCCGGCGGAGGCACTCCCACAATCACACCCTGGGCACCTGGAAATATCTCAACATCGTCAGACGGGCTCTTGTAGTAGTGTCGCACTTCGTAACCGAAACCTTCGCGTATGGGAGCAAGGTCTGGGTTCAGGTTGGAATGGGTCCAGGGTTGTAGGTCGTCTCGGACGTCTTCCCAAAAGGCGGTTTCGGCGGCGGAGGTGTCGATGAAGCGTTCTACTGCGTTTACTCTTATGGGGAAGGCATGCTCGGAGGGGATGAAGGCCATGTTGGTTGGGTGCGCTGTAGCTGAGATTCGTCAGTATTGAAGAGCTGAAGTGGGCACTGAGGTGGGGAGGGAATACATGAGTGTGTCGTGAGTGTACTTGTTGGGATTTTGACGCAATGTTGTTGTGAAGATGTAGAGATGAGCATGGTGGATATAACGCGCTGTGTGAGCAAGAGCTAGTTACATATTAGACGCGCAGGGCAAAGTAAAGGTACCTTGAGGCGGTGTTGATACGCGCAGCAAAAATTCTCTCGAGGTGAAGTAAAGGCAAAATATACTGTTTGAGCTTCTGTACACTGTCCAAGTGTCTCGTTCAGTGCAGCCTACTTACTTCAACTGTCATCCCCATTCTGGATCCAGCTTCTTACTGCCTCCTCCACCTCTTTGCAGCATCCCGTCACCCCAAACAACCCTCCCTCAACCCTAATGCTCTCTAAGCTCCACTTCTTCAACTCTTCACTAACACTCTCCACGCCATCCTCCACAACCAGCACATCAAACCCCCTATCACTCGCTTCCCTTACCGTACTGCTCACACACGCATCCGCCGTGACCCCACAAACCACCAAATTCTTCACCCCCTTTGCCCTCAACATCATATCAAGCTCTGTATGCGCAAACGCCCCTCGCCCGGGCTTATCAATAACCAGCTCTCCCTTCGTCGGCCTCAACTCTTCAATAATCTCATGCCCCTCCTCACCACGGATCAAAAGACGCCCCAACGGACCCTGACTTCCTATTTCTGCGCCGTTGACCCGACTCCGATGGGCTTCTCGACTGCTCACTGTTGCGAGTGAGGAATCGTGACCTTCCCGTGTATGTACGACGGGGAAGCCTGCGCGGCGGAACGTGGACAGTAAGGATGCGATGCGGGGAACCAGTGGCTCGAAACGTGATAGGGAGTAGCCTTGGGAGGAGAGGTAGCCGCCTGGTGAGAGGAAGTCGCGTTGCATGTCTATGATGACGAGGGCGGTTGTTGTGGGATATAGGGTTGAGTCATGTGGCCAGGCATACGGTGTTGTTGTGGGGATCTGAGATGTCATGGTCTTTTGGTCGCAGACTTTATGCTAATGGGTGTATAGCAGGAACGAATTGATCGTGATGATGTGATGCAGGTACGATGATGACCATGAGGGGTTGAGATGGTGGGCATGTCACTATCCATCTGTGCATACATCGCGTCGTCAAGGTTACCTACATTCACATCTCCGCGCGGCAGTCTGTTACGTTCGTGTATTTCTTGTATTGTCTTGAGTGATCCTATCGCGTCGGGTTGTAATAGCCGGTTATCGGGATCGGCAGGTACCTGTGCATCTCCACTCCTTCCGCACCTGCTTCAATCCTCACGCCACAACATCATCGCAATACTTACTTTGTACACATGTTTGCAATCCGATAGCGAAGAATTTAACTCAATGGTAACCGGCCGATGAATGTTCTCAGCCGCAAACATGCCGCATAGCAGCCAATTCATCTCGTCTACCGTACCCCACTTCTACCAGCACCCCGGTTGCTCCTCATACCGCTTCCGCTCCCTATCTCGACCAATCCACTCCACACGCTTGATGCGCGATAAGACATGTACGAGATGCTTGGCGACTTCCCGAAATGGAATCACAACCTGGGGCTTGGTGATGATGGCCGTTATCTCGATGACGCAGGGTTCGGCCGTTGACGGCGCCCTCCAGGGCTGTCGTTCGATGGCTGCGAGAAGATGGGTTTGCGCGATACCCGGACAGGTATATCTAAGCGGCTAGGTAACACATTAAACAATCACTTCTAGGCTGTTCACATGCTTACAGTCGTCTCTTACCCTTCTTTCTGTCGGTCTTGTGATCATCGAAACAGTAGACATGGGGCAAAGCCCGGAAGAGAAGAAGATCGTGGAGGAGGCCAACAGCGACGATGATGTGCTGGCGCAGCTGGGATATACCCAAGGTAAGTTCGCAAGGTCATAATTGCGAACGTATACTGATTGCGTGCACAGAGCTCAAGCGCAGCTTTGGTCTTCTTGGGATGGTCGGCTTCTCGTTCAGTATTGTGACTTCATGGACCGCACTCTCTGGTGTACTCATCATTGGTGTTGAATCGGGTGGGCCGCCAGTCATGATCTGGGGCTGGCTGTGTGTCTGCCTTGTGACACTTGCTGTTGCGTACTCAATGGCTGAAATGTGTAGCGCGTATGTACACCTGTGCCTGACTATATGGCTGAGCTAACCGTCCCTAAGGTACCCTGTTGCAGGTGGGCAGTACTCTTGGGTGGCTATCCTGGCACCGACACGCTGGGCTCGCTCGATGAGTTATCTCTGTGGATGGTGTGTATTCTCAAGATGACTTCCCAATCACTTCCTAACATGAATAGGTTCATGCTGATCGGAATCATATGCATGGGCGCAGTCAACAACTTCGTCGCTACGAACTTCATTCTCGGTACCGCTCAGCTCAATTATGGCTTCACAATAGAGCGATGGCACACAGTACTCATCGCCTATCTCATTACATTCATCGCAGCGGCATCTAACATCTACCTGCCACACATCCTTAACAAGCTTTCGAAAGCGATCTTCATCTGGAATCTCACTTCCTTCGTCGTCTGTCTCATCACCATTCTGGTCACCAACGATCACAAGCAATCGGCGAGCTACGTATTCAGCGACTTCGAGAATTTCACCGGATGGAACGCGCCATATGCCACATGCCTGGGGCTACTTCAATCAGCGTTCGGAATGTGCTGTTATGACGCACCTTCACACATGACCGAAGAGATCAAGAATGCCCGGAAACAAGCTCCCCGCGCGATAGTCATGTCGGTCTACATTGGCTTCTTCACCGGATTCGTCTGGCTAGTCGCATTGTGCTTTTGCATTGGCGATCTCGAGGAGACGGGTGCTACCGCGACAGGAGTACCTGTCATTGCCATCATATTCAATAGCACGAACAGTGTGGCCGGAACATCTACATTGGCTTCTATGATCGCTATTATCGCCACAGTATGCGCCAACTCGCTCATGGCGGAGGGTTCAAGAGCTGTATACGCCTTTGCAAGAGACAACGGACTCCCTTTCTCCAACGTACTAAGCAAGATCTCGACAAGATCGGTGCCGGTATACGCCATCATATTGACAGCCGTAATCCAAATGGCTTTCAACTCCATCTACTTCGGTACAACAACTGGCTTCAATACCATCATCGCCATCGCCACACAGGGTTTCTACCTCTCGTATCTAATGCCCCTGCTATCCCGCATTCTCGCCCACTTCTCCGGCAAGAAGACTCGATTGGAAGGTCCGTACTCACTCGGTCGCTGGGGCATTGTTCTCAACATTATCGGGTTTCTGTATCTGGGATTCATCTGTGTCGTGTCCAACCTACCTAGTGTCACGCCTGTGACGAGCGAGAACATGAACTACACTTCTGCGGCGACAGGAGTTGTTATGTTCATCAGTTTGATATTTTGGATCATGACTGGAAGGAAGAAGTTCACTGGGCCTGATGATGGGAATCTGTTGGATGTAGGGAGACATGTCGCCTAGGCTTCGGGTACCCCGCTCGGTACCCTTTGTTGTCACTAGGGTCTCACTTCCGATAAGTGACAAATGGAGAATAAGACATCTGTAATAACTTATCTTTGTTGACATGCTTGTGAGTCACTGTGACGCATAGCGCAAGGGTCGAGCCTCGCTACCGCCTGCGGTTAGCACAGGGTCCACGCACCTGCATCCAGGGATCGTTTGATGATTACGAATCGATACCACAGAGTCCAACCCCACCACACCCTCACAGTTTTTGGCCTGACAAGAATCCCCTCGCAAGCCTTCTCGCTTTGCCGCCGAAATACAAGGCGCGCACCATCTACGACTACCTCGGGCGACCAGTCTCACATCATAGACACATTGTTACACCATGTCAAAAAGAAAGAATCACCGCGAAAAGGCAAGACTCAAACGTCGACGGGAGCTTAACCAGAAAGGATACAACATCGCCAACACAATCGAATGTCGGACCCTGCGGAAAGGAGCAAGGAAACAGATCGCACGCGAACGCGCTGTAAGACTATGGATCTATCCCTGGATCATGGCTCCGACAGGCCGATTTCGACATTCGTATCCAAAAGCCAGT